GCGGTGACGAGCAGCCAGGAGCCCAGGCGGTAGGGCACGGGCAGGACCCCCGTGCCCGTGTGGTCGGTGGTCCCGGCGGCCAGCGCGCTGCGGGCGCCGAACACGTCCAGCACGGCCTGGGCCAGCGGGGCCAGCGTCCCGCTCTCGTACACCTGCACCCGCAGCAGCACCTCTGGGGGCAAACGGGGTGGTTAAGGAGGACGTGGCAACCCCCCCACGGTGGGACAACCAGGGGGACACGGCGATGGGGCCAGGGGTGTCCTGGTGGGTCGTGGGGCCTGTGCTGGTGGAGCGTGGGCACCATCCCAGGGAGTCCAGGGCCACCGTCCAGGGCCTCCATCCCAACAGCTTGGTGGCATCTCTCCCCGTGGGTCATGGCTACCATCTCAGCAAGTCATGGCCACCATCCCAGGGGGTCCTGGCCACCATCCCAGGAGGTACCGAGCCACCATCGCAGCAGGTGGTGGGACACATCCTGGCAGGTCATGGCCACCATCCCAGTAGGTGGTGGGATCTGTCCTGGTGGGTCACAGGCACCATTCAGGGGGTTCTGGGCCTCCATCCCAATGGGTGCTGGGATGTGTCCTGATGGGTGATGGTCACCACCCTCATGGGGTCACAGGCCACCATCCCAGCAGATGGTGGGACACATCCTGGCAGGTCATGGCCTCCATCCCAACAGGTGGTGGGACCCATCCTGGTGGATCATGGCAACAACCCTGGTGGGATACGGGCACCGTCCCAGCAGATGGTGGGACACATCCTGGTGGATCATGGCCACCAGCCCAGGGGGTCAGAGGCCACCATCCCAGGAGGTCACGGGCCACCATCACAACAGGTGCTGGGACACATCCTGGTGGTTAATGGCCACCATCCCAGTGGGTCATGGCCAGAATTCCAACAGGTGGTAGGACCTGTACTGATGGGTCATGGTCACCATCCCAGCAGGTGGTGGCCACCATGTCAGCAAAATGGTGGGCCCCATCCTGGTGGGTCATGACCACCACCCCAGCAAATCACGGGCACCATCCCAAAAGGTGTTGGGACCTGTCCCAGTGGGTCATGGCCACCACCCTGGTGGTCCATGGGCACTATCCTGGCAGATGGTGGGACCCACCCTGATGGGGACCATCCCAGAAGGCCATGGGCACCATCCTGGTGAGTCATGGCCACCAACCTGATGGCCATGGCCACCATCCCAGCAGGTGGTAGGACCCATCTCAGTGACCACCATCCCAGCAGGTCACAGCCACCCCCCAGCTGGGTCACAGGTGCCCCCCAGTAGGCAACAGACACTGTCCTGGGGGATGTGGGCAACACCCCTGTGCCCCTTTCTGTGCCCACCCTGCTCCCCCTTGAGGGGGACTCATGGCCCAGGGAGCCATGCCCATCTGGGTGGGTGCACTCAGTCACATCCCACCCCCCCCCAGGGAGGGCCACCCCCCCAAGGTGCCACTCACACGTGTCACAAGTTCAGGGGGTCTCGAGCCCAGCGGGCCACACCAGCAGCGCAGGGGGTGGTCCCCCACCCCAATCCCCACTGTGGGCAGGGGTGGGCCCGGCTCAAGGGGGGGGTGTACCCTAAACCCTGGTGTGCCCCCGGCCCCCCCGAGCCGGCGCCGCTCCCGCGCATGATCCGCAGCCTTTGGCAGCGGTCCCGGCTCCGGCGCCGTCACCCAGGCAACGACCTCCTTCATCCCGCGCCCCGGGGCTCCCGGCACCCCCCGCCTGTCCCCCCGCAGCCCCTGCCCCTCAAAGCCCCCCACCACCACCCAGCCCACCCCCGCCCCTGCCCACATATGGCCCAGATGTGGTGAGGGGCGAGGGGGAGAATTCGCGGCAGCTGCTTTAGTGATGCACCGGGGGGGGGAGGGTCAGGGATGGGGGTCCCGCACAGCAGGGACAGCCGGCACCCAGGGGCAGGAATGTCCCCGCGGCCACAGCCGGCCACCCGCAGCTGCGGGGGACAGCTGACACCGACGGCCACCCCGCTGTCCTCCGGAGGGGGGGGTTACGTGGTGCCACCCCCAGCGCGGGGGTACAGCTGTGGCTGCCCCCTTCCCCACTGTCTGTCCCCCCACTTTCTCCAAGGGGTCCCTGGAGGCTGGCACGGCCACCACGGGGTACACTGCCCCCTCCGCTGGCTCCCCAGTGCCTCCCAGTCTGACCCCAGTGCCTCCCAGTCTGACCCCACGGTCCCACGAAGGATGGGCGGGGGTGCCAGGCCCCGGGGTGGCAGTGGGGAGCCCCGTCACCGCTGTCACCCCATGGGGACAGGGAAGGGCAGGGGTGATGCCAGTGGGGAGCTGAGCCAGCACAGACAGGACTCCCCTCATCCCCAGACACGTCTCACCTTGTCACAGGGGCACTGCCAGGAGGGTTTGGGATGGGGGTGAGGGATCACAGGGAGCCGCAGGGATCCCACAGTGGCGCTGCACCCCAAGGCCCCCCCTGCCCGCCCAATGCACCCCCCACCATCCTGCACCCCCGGGCGCTACT